ATTTGACTGCTAACCAGAAGAAGGCTGGCAGTGCAAACCAACCAGCCACTCCACGGAAGGAAGACAGGGCAATCTCTTTCCATAAAGATTTACCATCTCACAAAACCAATGGGGGTCGCTGAGTCAGAATCGATTTGATGGCAGTGGGTTATAATGCACCAGAAACTATGAAAATAGCTAGATATGAAACAAAATAAGAGGCACAGTGCATACCCGTTGATGTTGTTGTTATGTTCCGTCAAATCAGCCCTGACTCATAGTGACCCCTCCTTGGGTTTCCAAGGAGGTATTACTACAGAAGTAGATTGCCCAACCTTCCTTCTGAGGAGTGGCTGGTGGGTTTGAACCGCCAGCCTTCTGGTTAGCAGTCAAATGCCTTAGGCACTATGCCACCAGAGCTCCTGTGCATACCCCTAGAAGTTTATAATCTTCTGAGACACAGCCATACGCACCAGAATCACCTGGGGATCTTATTAAAATGTAGAGTTTGATTCAGCATATCTGGGCTTGTGCGGCGCAGTAAATTACATAGTGTGGCTTTTCTAGCCATAAGTCTTATTTGTAAATTCCATGGTGGAATTTGCTGTCAGCAACCGAGTAGCTCCTGATTGTTAAAGTTATCCACCTGGGGCATTTATGTTGGGAGTGGCACAAAGTAACTTTCTGGGAAGTTCTCTCTCTCAGCTGTACAGAATTCCGATGTTGGGACTGGTTGGTTTGGCCACTCTGCCAGGCTAAAAAGGAGCTTCCGAGAGGCAGAGGTAATCTCTCACTGCCAGCTGAGAGACAAGAGAGATGTGCATTGCTGACAGAGACCTCAAGAGACATGCACTGCTGAGAGAGACACTGAGAGACACACACCACTGAGAGACAGACACCGAGAGACATGCACTGCTGGGAGAGATACTGAGAGAGAGTGTCGGCTGAGACACATTGGGGTGAAAGAGATTGAGCATATTCGTGAACTTGAGTTGTAGCCTGTTGCTTCCCTAATAAACCACATAATCTATGTATGAGTTATGTGTGGCACTGCAGCAAATTATCGAACCCAGCAGAAAGGTGGTGGGTGCTGCGGGAGGAACATTGGTGTCAGGTTTTTGAAAGGGCTGGAGGGAGGCAGCATGTCTGGCCTCTCAGGAATAGGCCTTGGGCTACTGATGGCGATTCTGTCTTCCTCTTGTGCAGTTAGAGGATGTCAGAAGATGCAGCCTCCCTGTCTCTTTGGCAGGTGGAAATGCAAATTCTCAGCAAAGGGTCCAACCAGAATGAACCAATTTGAAATCCTGACCTGAAGCCAGTAAAGCCCATGTTGGAATTGCAGATACAGCTACAATTCCTGCCTGGAAGAGAGCCAGGCATAAGTCGGGGACTCAAACAACACAGGTCCCCATTCTTCAGAGCTCTCAAATCCTCATCTGTTCCTAGAAAGACCCAGTTACGGGGAGTCCCCATGTTAACAACAGGGTTCTGTTCTGACGACTCCATCACAAGTTGGCTCTGATGCACATCAAATATCTTTTTTGTTTTGTTTTCATTATTGCTTTTTATTATCAGTATAGGAGCTCTGGTGGCATAGCACCTAAGGCATCTGACTTGTAACCAAAAAGCAGGCAGTTCAAACCCACCAGCCACTCCTCGGAAGGAAGATGGGGCAATCTACTTCCATAGTGATACTGCCTCGGAAACCCAAGGAGGGGTCACTATGAGTTGGATCTGACTCAACAGCAGTGAGTTAGCTAATTACATTTATAAACCTGATCTTTGAACATCTATGAATGAACAGCTAAGAATGACATCAGCAAATTTTGTGCTGTAACACTGTGTGTCATACATGTTACTAATGATGACAAGTACAAAAAAAAAACCCAGACGATCATAAACAACTCAAATACATCCTAATTTGAGACCACCTGTATTTTTCTCCATTGCCAAGATCCTGTTACCCATGGTAGTGGAGGGAAAAGGCAGTAAGTTAGTACAACAGAATAGCTTTCTATCCAATTGTTTTACCACCTTTCTTGCCAATAAAAATTAGAGCTATAAATAACAAAACCAAGTGTTTTAAATTTCTTTTTTCTTTTCCTTTCCTGGAGTCCAGCCTTTCAAGAAATTTTTAATTCTATTCATATAATTTGGACTTTACCTTTCTGGACTCACTAGAATATACATGCTGAGACAAAGAACATGAACAGAAGCTTAATAAATCTTTGCTGAGTGGGAAGATGAATTAAAACCTGTAAAGAAGGCAATAACTCTTTTTGAAGTGCATGGATTATGAAACCAAATAAATGAAACACCTAGCCTGACTTGTATCATATTTGTGATAAAGTAGGGTCTAGGATACATGTTCCCAATGGATAACATTGCAAAGAATGGGAATTCCACAATACTTATTTGTGTTCACGAGGAATCTATACATAGACCAAGAGGCAGTCATTCAAATAGAACAAGGGAATACTGCGTGGTTTAAAATCAGAAAAGGTGTGCATCAGGGCTGTATCCTTTCATCATACATATTCAATCCGTATGCTGAGCAAATAATGAAGAAAGCTGGACACTATGAAGAAGAACACAGAATCAAGATCAGAGGGAGACTCATCCTGCGTTATGCAGGATGACGCAATCCTGCTTGCTGCAGGAAGAGGACATGAAACACTTGATGATGAAGATCAAGACTATAGCCTTCAGTATGGATGACATCTCAACATAAGGAAAAGAAAAATCCTCATAACTGGACCAATAAGCAACATCATGGTACAAGGAGAAAGACTGAAGTTGGACTTCACCTTTCTGGACTCACTAGAATATACATGCTGAGACAAAGAACATGAACAGAAGTTTAATAAATCTTTGCTGATCTCATTTTATTTGAATCCACAATCAGCACCCATGGAAGCAGCAGTCACGAAGTCATAAAAACATATCGCACTGGGCAAATCTGTTGAAAAGACCTCTTTAAAGTGCTAAAGAGGAAAGATGTCACTTTGACAACTAACGTGTGCCTGACCCAAGCCATGGTATTTTCACTACCCTCCTATGTATGTGAGAGCTGGACAATGCATAAAGAAGACCACCGAAGAACTGGTGCATTTGAACTGCAGTGCTGGAAAAGAGTATCAGATATACCATGGACCACCAGAAGAATGAACACATCTGTCTTAGAAGAACAGCTGGAATGCTCCTTAGGAGTGAGAATGGCCACACTTTGTCTCTAGTACTTTGATTATGTTGTCAGAAGGAACCAATCCCTGGAGAAGCAGATCATGCTTGGTAGAGGGTCAGGAGAAAGACGACCCTCGACAAGATGGACAGACACAGTGGCTGTGACATGGGCTCAAGCATGACACTAACTGTGAAGATGGTGCAGGAGCAGGCAGTGTTTTGTTTTGTTGTGTACTGGTTTGTTGTGAGTGGGAACCGACTTGACCGTTCCTAACAACAACAAGGATACAGGTGTTACACTCTGCCAGGAGATCTCCACAATATCATCCAGCCATACCTAAAGAAATCAGGACAAGCCGAGGGGGACAGAAACAGACAACAGGCCCACCACCTATAAGTAATTTCTCAAGGTCTTCCTCCCCTTTCTAGTCCCTGCTATTTGTAGGACCCTGAGCATCTGTGGAAAAGCTCAGGTCAGATTACTGCTGTCAGCTTGGTAAGAATATCAAGAACGAAGAGTATCAAGAAGCATGCGCAAATGGAAGGAGAAAGGAGACTAGAGAGGGCCACCACATTCTCTAACTGAATAGCAAGATGTGGTCAGAGAACTATTAGGGGATTTATTCACTCAATGTAATCCTCTGAGCTCCCAGTATGTGCTCTCTGCCGAGTACAAAGAGATGAAAGCTACCTATCCCTGCCCTTCCAGAAATTCACACTGCAGGTGGGACAGAGACAGCAAACAGTGAAGGCAGTGCTCCCTAGGTCAGCTGTTACCTCCTCTGAGTGTCCCTTCTAATAGCTGGCCCACGTCAAGAAGGACAAACAGGAGGGAGTCAGATGAAACAGGAGAAGAGCATGCCGGGCACAGCGGGCAGCAGGAGCAAAGGCCTGGAAGCAGATGAGAACAGAGCATGCTCAGGGAATAACAACAAGTTCAGCATGCCCAGGATGAAGGCTTTGATCTTTCCGGGGGCAGCAGGAGAAGCTGAAGAGGTCGGCAGGGGCCCAAGGGATCACTACAATCTACCAGAAACTGCAAAGGGGTGCTCCTCGCCGAGCAAGAGATTTCCGTGACAGCAAACCATGAAGACGTATGATTCTGGCATTTCATCCCCGTCACTGCTGCCCCTTCTCTGACAACAGTTCATACGTGGAGACGTTATTACTTTCAATTGCTAATATATAACATCTACCCCATGCGCCTTCTTTTCCTCATTTATGGTAAACTAAGGATCCCAGGGGGTTTGTACGCTTGTTACAGAATTCATTTTCTCTCCAATTTCCTTGGTTATATTTTCTTTCTCTTTTGTTATGTAACTCTGTGAACCGTATCAAAGAATTATTGAATAGTAAATGGAAAACTAACTGATTTGCATTAATTGAAAAATACAGAACTTTCGTCTTGTTTGTGGAGAAAAATTTCCACTAAGAATCATTCTCAGCAAAGCAGCTTAAAAGGAAACATTTAAGGGTCAGCATATTGATACAGGTAGGTGATGATTTCTTAAATGACTGGATTACTTAGATGTAACCTGGAGAGGAGCATGGAATAAATTAAAATCCTCTAAGAGCCTGATAACATGTCTCTTTGACGTGAGTCTTACACCTCTCCTCATTGCTCAATTTCCTCTTCTACACCCTGAATCTAACCCACTTGATGTATGAGACCATGCCCTCCTCATACTGTACCTCTAGGACCAAGGACTGACTGAGCATGCAATAAATGGTTGCTGAACACAGGTGGATTGGTCAAGAACCCAGACCAGGTGAGGGAGAGCACCGGGCTACACATCCCATGGGATGTCTGGATCGGACGCACCCAGTGAGCAAAGCTGCTAGGTGACGTCTTCACTTACGTATTCTCCGTAGGTCTCCTGTGCAGGGGGTGGTGGTGGAGGTCGGTACCCAGTCGGCAGGACTCCTCTTGCTCTGGGTGTGAGCAGCCCTCGTCCTCGACTCACTGGCCCTCGGGAGGAGAGGACTCCCCTGGGGGTCGGCGCCCCTCGTGGGACACCAACCGCAACTGGCCGGGCTGTGACTCCTCCTCTTCCCCTGCAAACACGAGGTCAAGTCAGCCATATTCAACACAGTCTTCGATATGCCATCATTCATATATAATTATTCCTCAGAGAACTCAATGTTCCATATTTCTATAAGGAGGAAAAGTAAAAACAAAAGCAAAGTAGTACTTTGGGGTATCCACCCCAAAGCAGTTAAGTCAGGTGGGTAGCTAGTACAGCAACAATAAACATGGACGTATCAGAGAGGCCCTGACACTCAACTTCCGGCTGCTACGCAGAGCTGGCAGCTGTTACTCTGGGGAGGCTGTGTTCAGTCCTTCATGATGCAACGCCAGGACAGTCAGCCCACCTTCCCTCCCCATGCGACGAGGCTCTTACTTCCCTGCTTTGTGGACAAGGAAACTGAGGCTTAGAGCGATGTTAAAAACTGCCTGAGAACACATAGCTAATGGAGCCAGGGACCAAATTACACATCACAGTTCCACAAAAAAGACAGTAATAATACACACTTTCCAAAATAACAAATATTCTACATGGTAATTTAAAATACTATTATTAAATTAAATTCATGTAGGCATTTGCTCAAGTTGTTTCAACACATTCATGTATTTTTAACATAAAACATGACTTCAAACAGAGAAGAAGGAAGAAGTAATTCGACATCCATCGGGAATGGCTCAACCTGAGCCAAAACCTGCTAAAATGTGCGAGTCC